TATCGCGTTCGAATGATAAATGTGATTGATATGTGGTTCACGTTCGAGTGAGGTATGAGTATGTCATAATTAAACTACGCGTACATTTATGCAAATCCATGTTTTTATAAACGTAATTAAGGAAATGGCACTTAAGTAATTGCCGTTCCTCTCGAGTTTATGTAACTGGAAATGATAGATGGTGTTTAAATATTTGGTGTTTTATCATATTAATGTGCAGCGTGAGTCACTTAATTTCGCCACCGGTAGATCATTTGATATATGGGAAAATGGTTTAAGCATGAGTTGCATAGCGTTAATGAAGTCGTGCGTCGTATTTCTGTATCGTTATTTTTTTATACTTTATATCCTTATATCTCGTGTTTGATTTGTTTTTATTTCTACATTTTCAATTCTCAAAGGAGATCATCTTGCAAATTATCTGAATGTCTTTTCGAGTTGCAAAATAAAATGCAACAGACTGTAACATTTGAAAAGTTCAAAGGTGACACTCGTATATCTCTTGAAAGGAACAACATAATAAAATTAATTAATAAAAATTAATATCATACTTACACAACTTTCGTTTGAATCATTTTGGAATGAATTTCAAGTAAGAATTATTGGTGCTTTTTTTTATGGATGAGGTTTTTCCAAAATTATAAAAAGATGCTTGAAGGGATATTAAACGTGAGAAAGAAATAAGAAGATTACTAATAAATAGAAATTAATGAACAGAATGGCTAATAAATGAAAGTTTGTTCCACCTTCTAAATAATGTAATAAGTCACACTTGTTTTATTTTAGATAGTTTGCACATTTTTACATACAATGTGGACACTTGCATTGTGTACATAGTTGCACATTCAATTTCTCTGATAGTCCAATCATAATATTGCTTCTGTTAGCAAGTAAACCTTTCAAACGTCATAGGGAAACAATGACTCTGTGTCTTGAAAACAATATACCGGGTCGCTGAAATTTATGCATACCTTCGAGAGAGTGAAGAACATGGAATCATTCCAGCAGAGACAACAGAGTATAATCGTTGCTGCCAGTATCAGATCCTTGTACATTCAAATGGCCGAGCATATCGTCAAATATTTTTACGGATAAAGTTCACAGTGAAATTGTTGGCGAATATATTTAAAATTGACTTTTTTTTTTTTTCTTGCGCGAAAATGTAAAAATTCTTACACTTGCAAAGTGATTTTAAATAATTTCGGAATAAGGTAGATTTTGCTTTCAATCAAACAGAGATTGAGAAACTTCTGCAGGAAAATGTAAAGCTAAATAATCGTGTATACAAATCTTGTATGACGTTTCTTTTTTGAGTGTATTTATATACTGCGGTACGTGATTAATCTACCTTTATTAATTACCGTGCGTCAGTTTCGCAGTAGTTGGTATCAAAGATAATCTCGTTTTTATACACTTCACGCTTTCCATCCCATTAAATTCCCGCTAAAAATTATACTTATATAATTAAAAAAAAAAAGAGGAGAAATTCAATTCTCGAAGTATTAATACCATGTATTTAAAAGAATATTCTTCTATTATTAAATATTCTATTTAATAATATTCTTCTAACATAAGCACTAATCACCTAACTTTCGATTAGTACCTTTTCCAGACGCAAAATCCATTGGACCCGTCGCTGGAGAAGCTGATCGAGTCGCTGAAGATCTTCGACCGGTTGTTCGCCGATTTCGAGTTGTGCTACGTGGGCGCCATGGTGCCGGTGAAATCGACGAAGGAGTACGAGCAGCAAGAGCTCGTGTGCGTTTTATTTTCGGAGACGCTGCAGAGAGCTCTCGAACGTGGATTGCTCAGCCAGGCCGACGTGGATAATTACGAGCCAGCTCTGATGTTTACTATTCCTCGTTTGGCGATTGTTTCTGGCCTCTTGGCTCCGCCTGGAGGCCCTCTGTGCCTCAATTCCCCCGACAGCATCAGCGAAGTGTTTAGACCTTTTAGGGTAAGCGGCTGGCGGTGGCCACTGATTATAGTCGAGTGTAATTAACCCTCGCTTATCACACATTAATCAAACTGTACCATTTTTCACATTGTGTGCCATTTTTGGTAAAAGCTACTATAGCCGTAGGATAAAACTTACTCGTGTGGAAAAATTGCGAATATATTAAATTGTTGTAACTTTGTGAAGGAAAATTATATATATTAGTCCACTTGGTCTTGTTTCAATCTTTATTTTGATAGACTTGAATTTGTTTTTGATGGTAAGATAATAAATGATAAAGGTCTTTCTCCATGTTTTTGTACTAATTTCTCTTTTACTAAATTAAAATGTCCAGTTTCTTCTTTCTCTCGTTATTGGCTCAGTTATGTTTATCACCTTCCAGCATGTATGTATATTATCTTCTGTATGTCAGACATTGCGGTTCTTAAAACATTTCAATCTTGATCTTTGTTAAACAAGCAGAAACGTCTGAGGAGAACATTTAACATGGAATTACTGCATAGTTTTTGCTTACAACAGACGTATTCAATTTGTTCAGAATGCTAAAATCAATATTATATTGCAAGTGTGTATTAGAAGAAGAAGGAAACTTGTGTTTCGAACGTGTGTATCGAAATTTTTTTTTTAAATAATTACGACGGACAGAATACCGACAGAAGTATAAACTCAAAATTACAAAAGTATGGAA